TTTTTGTTTTGGTTTGTTTTGTTCTTGTCTTCTGTTTTCCCGTTCTCTATTATTCATTTCTTTAGAGGTTTTAATAGACTTCGTACGCCTTAGAAAAATTTTCCGCCCGGAGGTCGCGGAAAGGGAACAAATTTTAGGGAAGGTCTCGTCTCCACCTCGTTCTCAGGTCTTTTCCCTCCGCCCCTTCCATTCTCTAAGCGAAAAGCCCTGGGACCCAGGTTTGTCTCTCCTCCTATAAAGGCAAAGACAAATCGGTACGTTTATTGCGTGCATCCCAGGGCTCGTTTAGGCATGTGTTTTGTGAGACTTTTTCTCACTTCATCGATTATTGAAGACATCTGCTGTTGTGAAAGATGATGACGTCACAAGTGCTACAAGGACCGTTGTCCTTCACCGCGTCTTTTCCAGCATTTGAGAGTCAATGAACTAAATCTACCATCTTCTTCCTTTGGGCTTCAAATCAACTAAACTGCACTTTAACAAAAGACAGGTGTCTATTTGTGGAAAACTCCTGTGCCTCATAGATAATCATCTCCGGTTGCAAACTTAAAACGGTGCGGTTTCTGTAAGGATTAAATGTTTGTTAAAGATGCAAATAATCATGTGTAATTCAGAACCGAAATTTTCTTATCAGTTTAGCCTTAAATCTCAGCTGTTTCCTTAACGTATGGACCTCATCAACAAAGGAAATTAACTGAAACTCAGGCTAGTCACGAGCATAATTAATAGAGGGGAATGGTTGTAGAACTCGTCAAAGTTCTTTGTTGTATGTTTTTGTTCTCTTTTTTGGCCTTGACCGTGCACAAAACACAATAGTTGTTTACTACTGAGCGAGGAAGTAACCAATTGAAACGTTTTGGTTACGTAATTCATGCATGGTTTATGAACGCAAAACAAAAGATTGTGCACGGTCGTGGACCTTCCAACATAAATCTTGGTATCTTTGCTTGGCCCTTTGATGTTTGCCGGGCTTCATAACCATTCCCCTCTATTAACTATGTCACGAGTTAGTAATTGAGAAAGCGGCCAAATTCGTATTATGTCTCGTGTCTCGGCTTCTCTGAAAGTCCAATCATCGTCGTTTTCAGTTAATGCCCGTAAATGGTCCAATAATTTCCGAACCTTATTTCCGGTAAAAAAAGACAAACAGCGTTCTTTCAGTTGGACAGTTCATAAGTAAATGTGACGTCACAACCACACATGACGTCGCTTAGCAACGGGTTAAAATCCCAGACTCTTTCAAAGCTCGACATAAACAACACAGTTCTTTGGCGGAACGTATTTCTCACACGTTTATTAAAAAACAATTTTTCTTTTCCAAGTGACACTGAATAATATTTTCTTGTTTCTTGGTCTGAAATTAGCCTCGTCTTTGACAAAAGCAAAAGCGCTAAATAAATCCCTGCAGCTTTCATAATAATGATTACATCTCGAAATTACTTCAAATTGTTCCCTCTCTCGATATCTGCCTACACTACAACGTATAGTGTTTCAATTATTTAGAATTACATAAAGAACGCTTTCCAATAACTTTGTATAATTATGCATTTACCTCGAATCCATTTTACTTTGCGGTTACACGTTTTCCCGCGCTTTTCCCCGGTAAAAGCGGTTACACGTTTTCCCGCGCTTTTCCCTGGTAAAAGCGGTTACATGTTTTCCCGCGCTTTCTCCTGGTAAGAGCGGTTACATGTTTTCCCGCGCTTTCCCCTGGTAACGCGCTTACATGTTTTCCCGCGCTTTCCACAGGCTACCCGTTTGGGCTTCGAGTTCTTTTAAAGTTCCGATTGGTTTGTTTCGTCTTATTTCCAACTCATCGATTGGCCGTCGTCGTTTCAGTCATTGGAAAAGTCGCTCCTTACTTTAGGCTCTAACATGAATAAACTCATGGCAAAAAAGGACTGTAACTGTTCACATACCATACAATTGTTAAAAATATGCACATTAATAAGAATGCCAAATATTTAAGTCATACAAATTCTACTCTATAAAGAAATCCATGTTTTTCCTTGACACTTACTTACAATTATAAAAACATGGGCCAATAAATGCTTTAAGCTTCACACACTGTTTTAAAAAAAATGTAACTCCCTGTGTTTAAAGACCAAAAAATGAATACATCTCTATACCTTCGTGATATTTCACTTCTACGAAAATACATTTCAGTTTCTGATGTGTTTGTTTCAGCATGAATTTAAAATTAACTCCATGGAATAAATTTAATTTATTTCTTTTGGTTTACAAATTGTCAGTTGCTTTCTTGTTTATATTTGAAGTGGGTAAACAAAAATTTAACCGTCCAAATGTAACGAGGATCAAAAAACTAGTATGAATTTGCATGGCTTTTTGTGCTAATCTTTAGTTTGTCATGGATGAAAAGATCGCTCTTATCGCCAAAAATATTTTTAATAAAGAAAACTGATGTATTGAAAAGTAAATAACCTTAAATTGTGTCTCGATACCTATATTATTTTCCTTATGTCTAAGTGGAATACCCATGAGGGAAATTTATTTAATATTTCTTGGCGATAAATATGACAAAAATAACAGTGCCCAAAAAGGCAAAAACAAAGTTTCCGATCGATTACACTGGGAGACTCTGGCGTGAGTCCTCAAGTCTGCGCAATAATTTACAAATATTTCGTCAACTTAAAATAGAATTCTTCCTTGGGTGCAAGTTGATCTGTCTATATAAAGTGGAGTCAAAGTTCCAATATTTTCAAATTTAAGTAAGCAATACTCCAACTGGAACCAGAGAGTCTACGAGCAAAGACAAGGAAACTTTCTGGCCTAAAGAAATAAAAATTCACAGCTACCTAGCAGCTAAAGATCAAAGCTATGTTCTTCACAGAAGAGCCTAACACAAAATTAAAATATTTCCTTGTAAAAAAAACACACGCCCCTAATTGAGTCTAAATGTAGGTTTCGAACAATAATTTCCTTTTTAAAGGTACCATAACCTTAAGTGTAATTTAAACGGGTCTAATTTCCTTAACTCTGTTGAGCCCTGCGACAATAGTAGCCAAGGCCCTTGCATTTCTCGCAGAGATCTTGAGGATGTTCCTTGGTTTGATCCGACACGTCGAGTCCATCAGGTTTGTCCAGCGGTCTCTGCTTGTGCGGATACACGTTGATGTAACACTTAATGCACTGTTGCCCAGTGTTCGCCCAGCTGTTGCCGCTCATCCACTTGCGCTTACACAGGGGACATTTGAATTCTCCAAAACATCTTTTCTTCCCCTGGTATGGAGTGAGACCCTCTCCTTTCGGTCTGGCCTGAAATAGAAACAAAGAATAACGTCAACACGAGCTTATCTGCAAATTCTGTGTCATTATTATGGCCCATTATGTTTCGACTCAATTTGCGACTTTAACAAGCCCTCCCCACTGAGCGTCTGGGGTCGTGCCCTCCGGTCATTTCCTTCCAACCAGTCTCAAGAAGATGAGGAACTGAACTAACATCTGTTATGAACCCTGATTAAATCGCTTTTATGAGATAAGTGCGCAAGATAAGATGGAAATTGCGGGAAAAACCTTAATTCAAAACCCTACAGCCGGAAGGTGGAAAGAGCAAAAATTGTTCCAGAGCCGCACTTTCCTACTCCCCACCCCCCTCCCCACCCCTCCTATATACTATCAACTGTCTTCTTTAAGTTCTGTAAGATTTTATTGTTATGTTTTCTCCATTTTCTTAGCTTTACAGAACGAAATCATCACTGCCTCTCAATCTACCTAACATACTTAAGCAGACACGAAAGAGCGCAGCTGCAAGAAGCTCATTTTAGTATGCTAAACAGCTATTCAGAGGAAGGAGTGCATCTGTGAGTATTCACAGAGCGCGAAATGTAAACAGATTTAAAACTTACTCTGAATGGAAGAAAGATGGAGAGTCTCCAATGTTGACTTTGATACAACGGTAAGCTTTCATTCCTTTTAAACCTTAATCCAGGTTAGCTCTAAATATTTTAACGAAATCTTTTTACAAGGCATACGGCTCCAAGGCAGAAGATACAAAGGTTAATTACAAGGTTATACATATTTCAGTTTAATGCTTCCAGAGACGTCGTCAAAATACCTTACTGTCCATAAAAGGCCATGAAAGAGAAAATAAAGAGCTCTTTCATTGCAACCAGGAATTCGCGCTTTGTGTCTGCTAAAGTTTGTAATACACTGGTTTATAGTGGGTTTCACATTCTGGATTCAACCTCACAGTGGGGTTTTTAGGTCGATCGAGGGGCAGTGATGTTTCGTTCTGCCAAGCTAATATTTCGTATGTATTTCGGAAAGGGTATTTCGTTACACTTGTGATTCAGCACTTTTGCCGAAATGATAGTGTTGAAAGGTTCATATCCTGTCAGAATATCTTATTCGTTGTTGTCTCGTAAAATGCCGGTCAGTTTATATGACTGAGAAATATAAACTTTGGTTCGAGTTAATGTTGCAGTTTTTGTGTTTGTAATGGTAGAAAGGTCGGCAAATTATTCTTGGCAAAATCGTCCCAGTCGTAATGCAATGTAGTTGAACGGCCTCGTTGCTATAGTAGCGGAACAGTTACTGATTTCTGTGGAGTTCAAACTAGATTGAAAACAGAAAATTTGGACTGAGCGCCGATACTTGACATCGAAGACCAGAGATTTTCTATAAAGTTTAGAGTTATGAAGGCTTAGGAGAGATTTTCTTATCTTCTCTCCTCTATGCGCGGTGACTTTCATTCAATCTCTGTACAGTATCGATCCAGATTCAATTGCCTACACTAGAGAGTATTTGTGAAAGAAATCAGGAAGTCAGATAAGGAGCTTGAACAGGTTCAGAGGAAAACCACACACGCACTTTGTTTTGAACTTCAAGCTGGGTTCATTGGAGGCAAGCCAGACGACACGTTTATTTAGAGAACTTTAACGATATACAGGAAAGAGAAATATGCGCTCTCTTATTTCATGGCAGTCTAATCTATTTTTCCAGCTCAACAGGAATTAACCTTAATGCGCATAGTAACTTGCAAATTCGATGAAAATTTTGTAAAATCGTAATCCTCCTGCCCAGGTCCTCCTTGGCTTCTTCCTCCTCCCTCCCCACTGCCCACTCCCCACGTTTTATTCGTACCACCGATCAAGGTTTGTAAACAGCTATAAAAAATGTAATAATTCGGTAAAACAGTTGACGCTTTTAAGATTGAAATTAAAATTTTTACGCCTGAAAAGTCCCAAAACCTCTCTCAAAGAAAAATGCATCACTCTCAAACTGCGTATGTTCTTTGTACTTACAAGATCGGAAACAACCATTGATTGATGGTACAGTGTACAATTGAAAGCGTGCCAGTTTCCGAGAATTTTAAGGTCAAACAAGGGACGCTCACCACAGGTCGGTCAATTCACAGCATCAAGTTCGTCTTCCCTTCCAAGAATTCTAAATTTACAGCAACAACCCAGACCGCCACCCAAGAGGTAAACTAAAACTTTTGTTTCCTCGCTATTATTGACTAGAAAACTCTGCATGCAGCAATGACACACAATGATGCCCGTTGCAAGAAACAAAACTCTTACAGTCGTTAAAACGTCGGAAATTCAAAAAACGCGATTTTGAAAAAGAAGAGACGGTATTTCGGTTGGTCCATTCTGCAAGTAATCGGCTTAGTGGAACTTTTAGCCCAGGGTTAAGGAACTAACTACTACTGTTATTGACTGTGCACGTGAGACTCAAATTGGGAATACAATATTTTTGTGAAGAATTATACGAATGCAAGCACTCACAAGTCGCGACCTTTTCACTCACAACAAGGATAACCTACTGTGTTTTTAAGAAATAGATTGCTATATATCGAAAGCAATACCAGGTGAAAGGATCAAAAGTTACAGTGGTTGTTTGTATACAATCGCAAAAACGAGGACTGAAATGTGATGATAACAATAAACAGCAGTGGTGGATGGCTAATTCTTTTTACATTCTTATAGGCCATTCTTATAGAAAAATTAAGAAACAGGTCTTAAGAATCCAGGACTTGATCATCTTGATCATCACAAGGCGTCGTGAATCTAAACCAGAGTTTTTTTCACATTTAACTTTTAACCCTCTAATAACGCATGCGCATCTAGTGAAGCTAAGCGTTTTATTAACATTCAGCAGAGATAATAAACCTATTTATAGTTTAAGTACTGCACAAGATAGAAAAATGTGTCAGCTTAAGAGGGATTCCCAACTCAGACTAATCCGGAAGCGGAACATTGAAAGGGCGAAAAAGTTTAGAAGCAAACACGAAGCTCGGTGACTGGCATACACAATGGAAATTCTCGAGTTTGAAAATGATGTTTGAAATTTACGCGCTTCAAAGGTTTGGGTTTTTTCCAAAACATTCATAATAACAATCAAAGGTAATTATTGCCTACCTGTGGACAATCTTTGATGTAATGCCCTTTACAAAAGCAAAGATGGCACAAGTACCCCTCCGGGGGTCGCTTGGGTCGTTTCCTCTGCTTTTGAAGAAGCAATGTGTTTTGTAGACTCACTGCAAGGCTTGATATCTCGTCTTCATCGTCCAAAGACCACGCCTGTTGATCGTCTATGTACAGAGATGGGTCAAAATCTTCGAGGTTTTGGTAAAAATCCGAGGACAAAATCTCCAGGTCATAATCGTCGACCTTCGTTGATTTGAAGTAATTCTAGGGAGACAACACGATATTGCGTTAAGGAGATATCCTAGCACTAGCACAAATATTTCCGGTAAAACGGAGATTGAAGTTGCAACGTCATAGCTTAATTAATAAAGTTCGCAAATCGAATATTGCTAAAGCAGGGAATTAAAGCAACTCGCGGAAAGATGGCGACATCAGCAAATTAAAATGTTTCTACACTGTGGACAACCATGTTACGTAATATCTGTTTAGAAACATGGGATGATGGAAAAATTATTAATTTATAAAGGGTTTAACTCAATTTAAAGTAACTCAATCTTTCAAACTTCTCCAAAAAAAATTTCTTTTCTATCATCAATTTCCAAAGCTATTTATAGCGCAGAACTGGATTCACTGAATTTTGAAATAGAGCTTGTTTTCTTAACCCTAAGGCAGCATCACAGTGGAAGTAACGAGGCAACGGGAGACTGATTGTAGTTACATGTTACATGCCCGGACGAATGGAGATTCTACTTGCATGTGGTCTTGTAGACAGAGCCACGTGATCCGTATTGACAGTTGTGCGGAAAATTGTTCGAGTGACACGGAATTCAAAATATTTAACTTAGAGGAAAACCGAGCCAAAGGCGTCTAGAAAATTAATTGAGCGACCCTCGTCTTGAAATTGTAATCTTGAAGCAAGATTCTTCTGTTCTCTAATGTGGCGTGAAATTTTTCATGTAGTGCACTCACGAGACAGTGAACTGAGAGTCTCAAAATATGGCTCTGACAAGATCTTTATTGTGCTGTTTTTGATGCGTATTAATAGAAAAACAAGCTTGTGCCAGCAAGGTCGATAAGGGTCAAAATGATTCGCTATAGGCACTAAGTTGTCGCGTACAATATTTCAATCACATGAGGGCCGAGACGGCGGTCTTTACATAACAGAGTGTTCGATAGAATTATTCCAAGGAAAGAAAGCAAAAAAATTAGAAAAGAAAGACAGCGGCATAGCAGTCAAAGAGTTATCTCGGGAAGCATCAAGTCGATGGGTTGTTTTGGGTCGGGAACATCTGGCGAGCAAAGACTTCTATGCCGACAAACTATGGTGCAATAAATAACCGGCCATATCGGAAAAAATCTAAAGGGCACTCACTCTCTATTGTGAGATCATGAAGCAAGAACTCAACATGTCTTCGTCGTTGAATCGGGCTCTGTTTACACGCCAACGCAATTAGGTCAGTAGCGTGGCCAAAAGCAAAAACTATAAGTGATTGTCAGGAGAAAGAGTTCGAGGACTCAAGGTATTAACAAGTGATGGGCTTATAGATTCAAGCCTAGCTTACCTTCTCATTTTCCGCGTTGGTGAGAAAATAGTTGTGGTAGCTACTGGTGGGATGCGAAAAAAACGACGAGGAGAGAAGTGTCGACATTCCCGATGAATTCTTGTTTGGGACGGAAAGACCATTTACGCAATTACTTTAGCGACTAGATTGTCGTTCAGTCGGTAAAATGATTTGTCTGACTTTTATAACCCATCAACCATCTCCCCCCGAGGGGCGACTTCCGGTTGACCGAGCCAATGAATTGGAAGTGTTGTCTGTTTGAAATGTCATCGGCACGCGTTCTCTCACATCAAGCAGACAGCGGACAAGTGTTCTCCGCTCAGCTGGGTTTTCAAGGTATAGTCTCAACACTAACGCCACCAACCGCAGAAGCAAAAATATACCACTTCGCTGCAAAACGGAACGGAAATCTTTTTAATTTTGTTTTTGAAAGGTTCTCTGATCCACCACCCCAACAGATTTCGTATTTTGTGTCCATTCCAATTTTTATTTTGCTGACTGTGTCCAGTCGTTAATTGAATTAAAATGTGATAAAAATTAAACAGAGCGTGCGCTTTTCCTAGTCGTATCGCATGAAAGTGGCCTTATTTTAGCTCAGCATTAAAGTTCATTCAGTTCCATGGAATATTTCGCATTCATTCGATATCAATCGTTATTCACCAGTTGTATTGTAGTCATGACATGTGATATTAATCGACTTGCGTATAGTCCCCAGGCAAATAATTCGATTTTCTTAGCAGTGGGGGACAATCCTCGACCCTCTTTCACGATTTTCGCTTTAGCAGTGAGATCACAACGAGAAGAGGAAGCGTAGGGATAAAGTACTGCTTGTAATAATTTCCTGAGCGTGTTATTTGGGAAACTGTGTTTGTTTTCTAAGTAATTCCGCTGTTTGAGAAAAAAAGAGGATTGCATGTTAAATGTGAGAGAAAATCAATTCCCTGATACTTAAGTCCACCATGATCTCAAGTTTCGCTGTCCGAGACAAGCAGTCTAAAAAAAGTTTTCTTTTGGGCTTTAAAACTTTTCTGCTACACAGCTTCTGTCCACTCCATAGACTATGAGCATATTCTATACTTAAATTACTGTTTTCATCTTTTAATAAATCTTTTCAAAACTTGCCTTGAACTGTTAACGAGGAATAAATGTGTTTACCTCTTTTTCTTTCGTTCGATTAAACGTGTAAATGATCCTGGCAGACAAACAAAATTCATACGAGAAACATCGAGAATATACACAGCTTTGGCGGAAACTTGCTTCGCATGGGTCCTGAGGTCCTTAGAAAATACTCAGCTATTTTCAGTCTAAACTGCGGCTTTCCGTACCTAAACAAATCTTTTCCGCGATTAAAACATGGTTAGCGACATGCCGAGATCGCTTTGAGTTACCAGAGAAGAGAAAACATTGTGTTCTTGAAAAGTAAGAGTTTTTCTGCATCGGTTGTTTAGGAGAAGAAACGAACAGCCAACATGAAAACACGATCATTCGTTTCCACCAATCTGCTTACACCGTTCAAACATTTCTCCAGTGTCTACAGTCATGGGCTAAAACAAACAAAAACTCGGTAAATCTTCCGTCTTTGACCTCTGCGTTACTCGGTTAGGAAATTGACCAGCGTCGGCATTTTGACTTGAATCCCAGGCAAGGAATACATTCGTCAAAAACTACTCTTAAGGGTAGGGGCGGTTGACTTTTATTGTGGGGACCAGAAATGTAAAATTCACAAAGTGATTTGACGCTTTGCCAGCAAACCGCCCAACCAGGATGAAACTCACGGCAAACCCCGGAAATTCCCAGGAATGTTTAAGCCGGGCGATTCTTAAAGCACTTTGGAGTATTCATCGGCTTTTTTGACTGTGGCGTGCGTTCAGTTGTTATTTCAGATAATCTGGGAAACGACGAACACATGGTTTTTGGATATCAATTGGTTTTGAAAGGCTTTTAAGTCGAGTCAGCTGTGACAAGTCATAAAATGCTGCCTGGGAACTGTACTAGAACAACAAAAAATAAAGTCCTGATAATCATCTGCCGAAAACTAATAATAATAATACTGTCTGATCTGATCGCATCACAACTGCAATGTCGAAAAAGGTACGGAACTCACGCGAAACATTTATTTCAGTGGAACACAAGTTAAATGTTCTCAAAAACAGATTTCACCGAGGTATCCCACATTGTTTAGCACATCTTTTCTTGATTCCCAATTTTTCGAAGTCTCAAAAATCCATAAAAAAAAAAAAAACGTTTATTCTCTTCGATCACTGGTTCGAGATTCGATTTCTGTGTAAATTCTCCGTGGGAAATTAATTTCTTGTCCATCTTGGTGGGCGTGCAGATCATTAAGTTGTGGTCTGCGACCATCATAACATAACATCCGGGAAACCTCACTTCCAAGGCCAAGTGCAAGGAGTTCTTCGTTCGACACATGACATTTGTTTCCAATCTTCCACAGAACACCGCGTCCGTTTAGGGCAGGCATGTAGGCTAAAACAACAACTGAGAGATCACGAAAGTCATAGTTGAATTTTTAGCTAAACATGTCTTTTACTTTCTAAAAGTGATAAGAAACCCCGGTTAGAAAACGCAATACTGAGCGATAAAGATTGTACAAGAAGTTTAAAACTGCTTCTTGACTAAGCGTTGTTTGAGGATTTCCCTTGGGGGTAGGCGTTGGAAGGGGTAACGTATTACGGTTTGGGGACGGACATCTTTCAAATTCCCAAAATTCTTTGTACACCGGCTTTAATATAATTCTGGCGAGGATAATTTTGATATGAAGGTGGTCAGTGTTTTCCCCGTTTAGCCCTGCGTTGTTCTGTTGACCCTATTTCATGACATAAGAGGCTTCATCTATCGGAAATTAATTACGGTTAGGTTTTAAGGTTAAGTTGCTCTTAAACCTTGTGACCTTAGCTTATATACACTAACAATTGACGTTACTACGGAATTTTCTATTACGAATACGTTACAAATCATATGAGAAACCTAACTAAGGCGAAAATTATTTCCGTCGGAAAAAATAATACTATGGATAAGTCTGTTCACTGTCGGGTGTGTTTTTTAATCTTACAGTTACTAAATCGTGCAGGCACTTTCGTACCTCCACGACCCTGGAAAAAAAAAATTGTTATTTATATATACTATTTTTTGACGAAAAGCGTCTTTGATAAATAAATTGGCGAGTTTGACAGTCCAACTTTCTTTGATTAAACATAATATCAATTAACTCACAAGATATGTTTACATATAAATAACATAAGTTAATAAATACTCAACTCTTTTGTCCATGTTGTGATTTATGAAAATGTTCTCTAGAAAATCTAGTAGCCTGTAAACAGGCTCCGGTTGGAAGGGTCTGACCGCTTTCTCTTATTCTCCGTCGACCAGTCCTCGACTAGAGAGCCTGTTCACAGGCTAAAAACGTGAGAAATCCCATTTTCGAGCTACTAAAAATATCAATTTCTCTAGGGGGGAAGGGCATGCCCCAAACTCGCGCCTTGAGCTCTCGAGTGGAAAAATGCACGCTACACCCCAGAACAAGCATAAACTTTATTACAAATGATACGATGGTTTAGCTAGGCTCCATTACTTTCATTGAGTCGCACATAAGTACATGTACGCAAGCTTAAACATGTACCATTCAGGCAATGCACCAATAGCAGCGAACCAAGGTGCTACAAATAGCGACACGCAACAATTGACCTCATCACCTGATGAAGACTAGCAGTATAGCACTCGAAACGTCGCGATCTACATCTCGAAGTGACTCCATCATGAGACAAACGAGTGAAAAATTCATCTATCCTAAGCGAAATTGTATTTTTTCGTGTTTTGTTTTTCGCTAAAAAATCTGTTCGATGCAGGAAAATGCGAAAACAAAACCTGGGGCCCAGCCAACAGCTGCCGGCGGCCTGTGACAGGAAAAAACGTGGAGGCAAGTCCAAACAACGCGAACATCCTGTGAAACAACCTGTGGCTGTCAGCTGGCATAGTTAAATGATATGTTTATGTCCCCATTACATAATTGGCATCTATCATAATCAATTGCCATCTTTTCCAGTTTAAACATGTACCATTCAGGCAAGCAGGAGGGGTATGACTCTTCAGTAGCAGTGGAAAATCACTTCCTAAGCTTTCTTGCCTACCTCCTTGCAGTCTGCAAAATATCTGCATGATCATGTAAATAACACTTAGCAAGTCTATTTTTAACCAGTATGTACAAATTGGAAGCTTAGAAGTTGTATTTATTTCTGCGGTTCACTGAATTAAATTAAATTAAAATAAATTGTTGTTTCGATGTAAAGTGGAAACTACTTAGCGAAGGTGTTAAAACGTATTCTTAGGCAGCCCACCTGGGGGATTTCCTGAGGTTTTTTTTTTAAATATCCTCCTACTCCCAATTAATATGAAGTTAGAACTCAAAAGCTACGGTAACGTACTGACAAACAGTCAATTCAATCTTCAAGCACCAGCCCACCCACCCCTCCCATGTAACTGACGAATAAATTAAGATAACACCATATAGCTTAGCATGTGCTTTTAATCTAAATGCGTGCACTTGCCTGAAAAATCATATGTGGTATAGACCCGCAAGTGGTAACGCATTCTTGCTCACAATGGGTGGAGTTAGGATGTTTTACAACAGGGGAGAGGACTCGAGGGAAACACCGACTTTCATACCATGTGATACACCGCTGTAATGATCTTTAACTCATTTAATGAGCGATCCCCTGACCTCAACTTATATTCTTACGTGCTGCTATCCTTGAGTAAATTAATAAGCAATGACATGTATCAAAACAAACAACTGTAGCCTCATTAAACTCCAGAAAGCCCCTCGTTTCCGGTCATTCTAATTTCCGGGCCATTCCTATGACCGGGCTTTAACACGCACCCATTTAATTGGACCGGATTTCCAAGGTTAACGCACGTGGGAGAAGTCTATAAAGTACATAAAACATGCTTGCTTGTCTTCATGATCACAAAGCAGATCACACAAAATTTAAAAACGTGGAAAATTCCTGTACATCTGTTCAATTTTTGTCAACAGCGCACGCACAAACAAATTAGAATTAACAAACTGTTATTTTTAGGAAGTACTTAACGTAATTAAATAGTTCAAATTATGCGAGAACGAGTTCAAATATCCCACGAGACCTGTTTAGCAGGCTGTTTGTAGTGCTCAGTCTCTCTGGCCACGCTCGACACAACGCACGGTTTAAACAACGGTAGCAGTAGGGAAACATTGAAAAACATTTGATTTTGTATTGACTTCGCTCTACGGGCTCACTAACACACACTCCTTCCTTTTTCATAAGAATATATTTTATACGAATATCAAGGGTGACATTTGCGAAATTTTAAGAATATTTTAAGAATGCACCCGAAGCTGATATTTTAGAAAGAATATAATTTTGAATGGTCACTAATTTGTAAATACAATAATATTATGTTTTTAACTAAAATTCTTCCTTTCTCTGAACGGCAAAACTAGCCAAACAAACAATAAAAACAGCACTATATAGCCGTATGTTCGGTGCTATTAACATTTCTGCAAGAAGTTATGTCAAGCCTTGGTGCATGCAGTCTGGCTCCTACATTACTTCAACCCCATCAAAGTCATCAAAGCATAAATGTCACAAGAATATTTGCAGCTTAAGATCGGCAGAATAAGGAAAGATATATAATTCAGCCTAGGCAAAAAAAAACGATATTCTTATAGAAGAAATGTAGAACAAGACTTGTTAGTTGAAAAATGAACGCGCAACCCCACACAAAATCATCTAAACGGTCACGTTTGTCTTGGATATTATCTCTTAGTTTGGTCTAGTTTCGGGACAACGGTACCGCTCTGTACTCACCGAGTCAGGGGGGCGGAACTCTTGATTGTAAATGAGATGGGAAGATCTCTGTTAAGTCTGAAATTTTGCAATCTGACGACAATTTAGCATTAAAATTTTGTGGTGGCCTTTCAGGAGAGAAAGATTTTGTTGAGGTCTTTTGTGGGTTAGAAAACTACCTTTCCTCTCGATACCCCCTCCTTGGACAAAACGTTTGAGCACAAGATTACAACCAGACAGTTATTACTTTATTACTCGTGGTATGTGCAAAATGAATTCGAAAATAAGAGAAAATACTTAATTGTGATTCAACTCGACCGTGTTACAAAGTAACAACACATGTATCTCAAAACTCTCTCCTCAAATTACATAACACAAAATAACATCCTAGTATATTCGTATTTACTTTTTTAGTGCATCATGAATCTCGCAGCTATTGGAAAACAAAGCTTTACAGAGATTAATATAATAAAACTGAATAAAAAAGAAAAATCGATTACAAATGACTTGTGAAAACCACAGACACCTGGATTTTTCAGTTCAAAATACGACAACATTAAAATTTATTCATTGCGTAATAAGTGACATTTGAAAGTTAAGAATTTACTAATTAGCGGTGAAGGTGATGACGAAATAAAACTTTTCAACAAAAGTTGACTTTTATGAAAGACAGTTCAAAAATAAGTTAAAACTTGCCTCTTGTGAAAAATTAACCGTTGTGTGAAACTCCATCACAAAATGGCCACATTACAAAAGCTACTTACAATATTCGTACACAACAAATCTAAGTTCATTCTCAGGGTCGCTCCTCCATCCCAACCTCGTTCCCAGTGATCTTCTGACGTTGCTATCTGAGCACGTGGTCGAAAGGCCCTGGGAATGAGCTGATCGAATTCCAAGTTACTCAGTTTCACAACTCCGACAAAAAGGAAGAAAAGGAAGGGCCTAGAGTTCTGCGCAATTTAAATTGATGCAAATATCACCAGATTAACAGGGTTAACAATACAAAAAAACCGTCCGGGCCAATTCAAGTGTAGAGCTTGGAAAGTTATACCAGAATTCTGAGTTGTGGCTGACGCAAAGCGCGGAAAAACGCGTGCCAGTGACTCACTACTTCTGACTGGATGAAAAAATGGCGCAATTTTTTAAGCCAATCGTGTAGAGTAGTTGATGGAAAACCAATTACTTTCCTACACCCAAATGAAAACCGCTCTGTAAATAGACTATCGACTGTAACCAAATCTATTTCCAGGTATACCTAACTTAAGCTATCAAAATCTCGCCCAGACCAAAAAAGGCAAAGAAGCTCAGAGCTACAGAGGTCAGTATTCTTCATAAATTATATATTACATTTTAAAACCTGTTAACCTGAATTCTCCTCGCGTATCTCTAACTCTTGAGCATCTAACAGGTGCTCAGTAGCACAGTTACAAACTGGTAAGTTTATATCTTAAATTTGATCGCATTTTTATTAGAAAAAATTTCCAGCGAAACGTTTTCCTTTCTAATTCTGTTGTGGCTTGTATGACAAGATGCTACGAATCACCGACTGTTGTGACTTGATAGACTGGTGACTAGGCGGCCTAATGGCAGCGGGTTCCAGGCATTCCGCGGGTGGAACGTACACACTTTGCTGGGTCTGGGGACGAGCGGAGTGCCGTGATACTGAGGCTCTCTGATGAGTGAATACTCGAGGAGAGGAGCGAGACTGGAGTCGACTTCGAATCTCTGTAAATACAAATTAAAGTAAGTCGCACCTTCAACTCTTTCATGGTAAGATAATAACTAACAGGTGGAGTCCAATTGTGGCTGCTATCAACTCGATCTGCTCACGTACAGGTCCCTTAGATTGTTGTTGTTGTTGTTGTTGCTGATATTATCTTGGGGTGATCAAAACCAAAAACAACGATCTCAAGTGTAGAAGATTACAAACATCCTCAGTTACTTTCGGAAGTCTGCGGCCGAACTCCACATTTACTAGATAGAGAGATTTCAATGAATGATTGGCTGTAGGGAAAACCTGAGCGAAATTAAACTTTACAACTAAATGGAAAATATGAGTGATATAAATAGTTAAGTTGTCAGCGGTTTGACAAACAAACCAGGCGAAAGGGTCAATTTGCTTTGTATTGGCCCTTTCGACCATAGGCGTACAGCACCTTCGGACTTAAAGGGGCGGTGACCTTCTTGCCCGAAAAAATTACGCAATGCCCGAATGCGTGAGTTTTGAAGTCGGGATGAAAACGAACTCAAACTGCATGAAGAACAAAAACGTTCACAATTGTCACATCTAATGAAACTGCTATAATTCCAAAACTAGTCGTATTGAAAGCTTGCATACTCAATGACCTCTATCAACAGTCTCAACTTTTGTCAATTTTTTCCCCGAAGTTTTCCCAATTTTCGCCCGAAAAATTACATAATTTCTGTAACTGAGGGACTGAGAGCCCCGCCCGCCCCGCCCCAGCTCGTATGCTTATGCTTTCGACTCGTTAGTAGGCTTTTTAAAACTAAAGAATATTTGACCGCAGACTCAACTGTAATAACAGATATACTGCAAAACTGAATAGATCATTCCACCGCAAAAGTTTTACCTTCAATTTCTGCTTCGGCCGTACCAGGCCTCGGTTTGCTCTGCTCGATCACCGCCTCTTTCCTCTTCTCTGTGGCAATAAACGGGGAACTGGGCTTACATCCGGGACTGGTCCATTGGTACTGCGTGTAGCCCTGGGAGCCTGCCGTGCGGGGTGTTCTGGGAAATTGAAACAGCAGTCACAGTAAGTAAACTATGTAAACCAGCACGTGTCTTCATAGTCCGTGTGCTATTGGGATCTTCCGTTTAAGGTGGTTGTTTCGAGTTTTGTTGTTTTTGGTTGGATTGGTTGATTAACCTTTTCAACTCAACTCATGTAAACAACCACGCGAAAACGTGTACGTTACTTTAAAAAAATTTCTTGAAACGATTTTAATTTCGGACAAAAACAGTGTCGAAACTAAAACTGCCCGAAATTTTAGACGTCCGAAATAATTACTTTACAGTACAGTGTAAAATTTGTAAGTAGCTCCAAAGCTGTTAGTTTCCTTTATACCGGGCTTTATGGAGCGAACTCTAGTTGAGGCACTGTTTGACATGTGTAACGGCCTGAACTCGAACTTGATAGAATTTTATGCCATTTTCTCGTCGATGTATTCGTGAAACCTTAAGGGTGCAGTGAAACTATCATTTTCATAGATGTTGTGTCAGTAAAATTTGTATTCTGTAGGCGTAAAATAACTTAAGCTATGTTTCAGCAAAATGTCCGAAATTGTTGTCCAACATTTGTCCGAAATGAGATGAAAAGTGTCCGAAAATTAAACGTCCAAAATTTTTTGCAAGTAACGTAATCCAACTAGGACATACATGTAGCCTAGCAGTTCTCAACTGTTTAAACCGAAAACAGTTGAAAAAGTGATTTTCCGTAGAGCCGATTGCGCTTCAAATGATTGGTCGAAAGTAAAACAAAACTTTAAAACTTTAGACGAGATTTTCCAATGCAGTTTCGTTCTTTCAAGGAGCCATACCAACACATATTTTAATTTTTCGGAGCATAGATTAATCACCTTCAACTGCATGGAGACCTCAGAACAACAGTTCAAGATATACAGAGACCAAAGAGAAACAAGGATGATAGCAAAGATTGGAGAAGATTTACATGGATTGTGAACAAGGACAGAAGATGTTGGTTAAACAGTTTTTAAGCATGCGCATGAAATCTAGCGCAAGCTGAGACTCGCGTAATGCAATTCTGCTCTTATTATTAGCGAGTAGAAATACGCGCGGCGAGATGGAATCTGCACCTCGCGCGTGTTCTCGCTCTCGCGCACCATTTCAACTCGCTCCCAGCTCGCAATGCAGTCTAAACCTTTTGGTCCTTTCGGTGTGTTCGTAAGTGCTCGCGCAATGTCCTAAATGGTTAAAACTAACCAGAAAATCTTCGGGCGTTTTCACGAGAATTTACCGAAAGCGTTAAACCAAATACTCCAAATTTTCAGCTGGGCATGCATATTGGTTGCTAAGTGCGGGGAGGAATACTGCAGCCAACAGAATTGAGAAAGCGAGATAAAAAAGTGTTTTTCACCCGGGTTTTCAGAACCTTCGGTGAAAGGACAATCCCTGATGGGTCCTGATATAATCTGGAGAGAGAGCCAGATTATATGCAGCATCAACAGGTATGGCTTTGAGCTTTGTTGGCCTACGATAACACGTAGTCTTTGATCATTTTGGATTGTAGTGGTGTATTTCTTGTGAATTCTGTCCGACAACTGGGTGCGCTTTTCAGAAGAAACTACCATCCCCATCCCCCATCGATAATGACAAATGTATTGCAATTAGCATCAGGATTCTGATTCCCTACTCAGGTTTGAAATATGGTTCAGAGAATAGCATATTAAAAGGGAAGTCAAAACTTCAAGGAGTGCCTCCCCCCGCCTCCTCCACACAAGGGCCCATTCCTCTTGCCACAGATGTGATACACTGCATGAATGAAGAACAGAATTGTGCAGTAACACACTTTTCATTTATTATAGCAGGAATTGTGCAGCTATACAACTGTAGTCCCTTTACATTTGCGTGACTACACAAGGTTTCTGCAGGCTATTTGGAGAGCAACTGTTTCCAGAGTGCAAGGTTGAGATGGAACCCAACAGAATCAACAAGCATGGGAAGAAGATTAACAAAGAAGATGAAGAGAAAAACCTGTTGTTGACAGAGAGAAACCCAGCACGGCCAAAGAGGAGCCTTGAGCAGTCAAGTGAGACAGAAATGAGGCATGTTCAGGACCTAGAAGTCTGTAAGAGAAAAGTGTCAGAAAAATAACAGACAGACAGACAGATAGACGGGGAGAAAGATAAATGAAAGTTAATGTGTAAACAGACTGTGGATGCTTAGTGCACAACTCCAAATAAATTGTGTTTCAGTGTGGAGATGCACAATGGCCTAATGGTTCAATATGCATGGGTCTAATGGGCAAGAAAACTCTCATGGTGCTTCTTACCACGCGGGTGTATACATGTAAATGGGTCCTGGTGTACTTTACCAAAACTTTTGAGTCTATTTTCCCTACATCTAGACTGTTCCAGGCTCTCAGTTTGTGAGGGTGAACAAAGGGGAACAAGACAAGTATGAAAAGATTGGGGATCTGGGAAGAACACGTGGGATAACAGCAGGTAGCTCCAAACCCCTTGCCTTTTCATCCACTCGTTTCTGCTCTAACCGACTGACACCTCCCTGCCTGAACACCTGGGACAGGCTACCCAACACCATGAGAACTTGGCAAGAAGAAAAATACTTTAACCTCTAACGTTACCTTGGTTTTTCTGCATCTTCTTTTTCCTGTTTCTTCCTCTCCATTTCCTCTCTTTCCTTCCTCTTTGCATCATTGTACTTTTGAATCTCATCCAAGTCAAGACTTGATTCCTGTTGTAGCAGTTGATCGTCATACATGGGGGACTTCATTGCTTCATTGTAACCTTCCCTAAATTCACGATCAGATGTGCACACTGCTCGGATCATGTCCAGGACAAGTTCCTTTTCTGCAAGATCACAAATATTATGAAAAGGAGGTGTTGTCAGTACCCTATCAGGTGACATGTACATGACATAAGAACTTTTATTACAAATTTGGTCTAAGTTCTCTGAAATCTCAAACTACCAATAACAAGACTTACAATACAAAATTTCAGGGAAACATGTAATGCAATCTCATTAGTGCTTTGTTATGTATTACCCTGTTAGACGAACTTCTTTACTTGTAACTTCTTTGGAAAAAGTTTAGGAAACATGTAAGCAGGTAAACTAGGAGGCCTTTTGTCACATGGTAACTATTCTGTTGTTTAAACGTCATAGCAACAATTCATGACACTGCTTACGGAACGCATGGTGGCCTAAAAGATTTATGGTGAGCATTATTTGCTCCAGCGCAAGCTGTTTGGGTTTGTGCCCTGGCCAGAGTCATTGTGTTGTGTTCTTGGGCAAGACACTTGAATCTTACAGTGTTTCTCTCCAAATGGATGCCGGTATATTGCAGGCAAACAATTTGACTAGCATCCCATCCATGAGGGAGCATACAAAGACTCCTAGCTAGCTAGCCACCAGCCTTGTCACTTTGTGCCTCACAAACTTGAGATAATTATGCTTAATAACGGACATCTTTTTCTCAACATTTTCTAAACATTTTCTTACCTCTTTCAGGAGCATAAACCAGCCATGATTTAATGCCATCAGGATGATCTGTTTGAAGGATGCCCATCAACATGTCAAGCATCTAAACATAGAAGTAAGCAACAACTATGAAACACATCATGAACAATTTAAGGATCTCAACCATACTGGTTAGATGTTTTAAGTAAAGTAAGTAAGTAAAAGCTTTATTGATGTGTCAATGTATTTAGTTTTCACAACTAATTGGGGACACAACAAAAAAAAATTAAAATTATTTACAAATAAGGAATAATAATAATAAAAATGTATATACAATTAAAATATGTACCATGTATAAATTGAACAATAAAACAATGGGTATGTAAGAGGTAGTCTCTAAGAATTGCAAAGGTTACAGCAGCTATTGTTGTTGTTTAAGAGAGTGTACAAATTTTGGCATGGTACACGTGGGTGGACTTTTCAGAATTATTACACCTTGAAGTCTCGATCTCCATTCTCACTGTGAGATGTTGATAATGTGTTGAGTGCAGTTGCACAGCTACAGGGGTTGCTTGTCATCTTTCAAGCATGGTCTCGTAGCAGCAAAGGTTTTTCGATTTTGATCGCAATTCCCCCCAGGAAAATGTAGATAACGTTGGCCAATATTGATGCAGAAAATATCAAAAAATCTACTGATCTACATGTAGCCAACAAAACATTACAGGAATTTTATTATATGGCTTGTGTTTTTAGCCAATATACATTGTAATATGAACTCTGATTGGTCAATTCTGGGGCATTATTCTCCCGTAATGCCCACAGGCCTGGATTATGGGTCTGCAAAACCAAAGCAAAAAGCCGTATAATAAACAACTTGTTAACCTCAAATGTTCGGACTTTACAGGAAAATCTCAAACTTCTGCCTTGCTGTATTGACCTCACTATCGCTCGGTCAATATGGCAAGGTCTCGGTTTGAAATTTTCCAGCAATGACCTCACTCTCGGTTAATAAGTAGTAATAATGTGAGGAGGAAAATTGATTAATACAAAACGGAGGAAAATTGATTATCCTGGGTATTGTAAACTTCTGTAAATAATGACCCCGCAAGTGTAGAGGGTCCACAATAGGTTTGGCGTTTTTTCACGGTGATATTTGGGATGCGAGCTGAAAACATGAGCGGGAAGCAGGAATTTCAACTACAAACAGGAGCAGGAATTTGTGTTTTTGTGGGATGGGAAGATTCGCAAGGGAAACAGAGCAGGATACAGGATTTTAATTCTTGCATAACTTCATAAACTGACCAGTGCAAAAACTGCAAGCTGGCACAAATAAACCTTTTGTACATATAGCTATGTCAGGTTTCAAGTAACATATCAAACATGAAACACCATGTTTTAACCACATTTCCAAAGAACAAGAAGAGAGTTGAAAATACAACGCATAGCATAGTATTTTTGACTAACTACGAGATGTTTGGAAAGGTTGTAATGGTTTTGGGAAGCAGGCCACACACCCCCACCCAAGTTTTCTTGGAGTACCCCCTCCCTACCTCCCTGGAATTTTGGCCTCCCGATCATTGCCAGTTTTGCTAGTCTTTTGACCTTTTTCAGAGTGTTTGGCTTGTTTTGGTCAGTGCAGCCACACCAGATGGTGAAGATAGTGATTTAGCGAACGAGGTATGCATCATTTTAAATTACGTTGCCATATATTACAGAAAGGGTGCGAACAGGAATGTTTTCCTACGGAAAAAAATATCCCGTGACCAGATTTCAAGGAAAGTGAAGATGCTGAGAGCACTGAAAGAGACTGTCAGGTGTCTTTACTTTTTAAACCTTGTCTATATTTGACTTTTTAAGATCTTAAATATTGAAGTGAGCAATCTTTTTCTTTCACTGAGATGTGGACAAACGACAACGAAACAGTAAAATTGAAGTAAAACATGACAGAAAGAAACATTACAATCATTTGTGTTAAATTTTACTGGCTACCCATTGCATAAAGGTAAGCCTTTCATAATCTTTTATGTGCTATTTTTAGAACATTTCTGTGTTAATTATTAGTCTAACAAATTAATAATGAATGTAGAAACGTCTGAAAAGGGGGCGGGATCAGGATTTCCAGGTAAAAAAGGGCAGGATGGCGGGATTAACAGAAAAAAATGGGAGAGAAAGCAGGATCTGAGAACCCTATTGTGGACCCTCAAGAGTACTGACTACCCAGGAGTTAAACACCAAAAAATTGTGGCCACTGATAAATCACTTAAGTAGCATTGAAGCCCCCAGTTAGAGTTATTTGCTGAGGCTTGGGCCGTAGTCTAGGGAACTGGATCTTGCCAGATACCCATACTTCTTTGTGGGCAGCCTAGCGGGAAACTGAAAGAACATTTTGAAATTTGATAGATTGAAGTGGAACGGTGTTGTATCAATGGAGGTTGTTACAATATTGAGAAGATTACAAAAGAAGTGTAAATTACTGAGGAGGATGATCCACAAATGCGTAAGTGTTGATGAAAGACTTTGTATCACCAGATTTCCCTTTAGCATCATATTAATAATGCCTATGTTTAATTTGTATCGTACCGAATCGCATTGGAGTGAGTCAAGGAGCAATCTTGACGAGTGGGTCTTGTGAAATCAAATTTAATAAACAGTCTGTTAAACCTCTGGAGATGTGTCAAGTTATGTCAGAGAATTTGAACAAAGATGACAACACCCCCCAAAAGTACCTTTCTGGTAAGACATACATCTTACATGGATTAATGTACCTCACATTTTATGGTTCTTTGATAAAATCTCATGATAAAAATAAAATTTAAAATGAAATTCAAATTTAAATAAGATTTAAATTTTTAATTTTTAATTTTTAATTTTAATTTTAAAACATCACTTACAGCAAGATCATTATCAGATTCTGGAGCAATGTGCTGCATGGGAAGGCCTTGTCGTGAGAGTGAGGGTCTATCTCCCAGTCTAGACTCTCCCTGCCTTGACGGTGGCTTCTCACCATTCCGTGATGGAGGCATTTCTCCATTCCTTGAAGGTGGCTTCTCCCCATTCCTTGATGGAGGAGGAAACTCACGGCCCCTGGATGGTGGTGGTCTCTCTCCTTGTCTTGATCCTTGTCTTGATGGTGGTACCTGGTAACTTGTAGTGTTTGTGTAAGGGTTCTTGCTCTTGAAGCCAGCAGCTTCGGTAAATCTCTTTAGTTCCTCTCGCCAGGTTTGGGTTATTGGAACTGCAAAATAAAGTAAATTACGAAGACATGATTGTTCATCGCAGTTGTGCACACATCTTAAGCAGTTGTGAATTAAAAGCCTGAAAAACAAAATTCAGGCCTGAAAGGGATTCAAACCCATGACCTCTGCAATACCGGTGCAGTGCTCTACCAACTAAGCTATCAATAAGTCATCTGGGAGCTGGATGGCTTGATAGTAATCAGGTTTTTTTTTTTTTACTATGCAAATAAATGCAATTCAACAGACATTCATAAAACTATTTTCTTTTGAGTTTATTGCATAATTTACAACTTTCAAGGTTAATGCATTCACAAGTTTTCAAATAATTATTGTGTTTATAAGTTCTTTGTCATTTCCGAAAGCAATTTTAAACAATGTTTATTTTCTTGCCTCAGTGGGTATCTAAACTGCATTTTTACTTTCTATTGTTCTAATAACCCGTGGTGTTCACGAAACATAATAAGCGTAATAAATAAGTGTCCCCAGATGAAAAGACATCTAGCACAGAGGACAAAAAGTTGTGTTCTCTTTGCTTTTCTACATCAATGTTTGACAGAAAACATTGACCCAAACTGAGGCCGGGTTTGCTTCTTAACAATGATAAAATTAATGTATTCTTGCATTATTAAAACCTAGTGTATTCAGAAGAGGAATGCAAACAAAGAAAAGCACGAAAAGGCTAAAAAAGATAAGTAGTGTTTGCCACAAAATCTATATTTCAGACAGGGAGTTTTCATTAAAACTGTCTATCCAAGAAATTTGAAGAATTCAAAATTATAATTCTATCAATCTGACAACCGTGCTCATCAATTTTCAATGGTGACGCAAATTTGCAGAGTAAAGAAATAGCTTTGAAAAAGCAATAAAGACACTTATTCTGTTTGCCTCTCTAACGTTAACGGAAGCTTCCTCCAGACGCCAGACATTTTATACCAATTTCTTTACGCACATTTTACACGGGCATTCAAGGAAGATAAAAGCTTATTAACTGATGCGGTGTCGATTTCCCCTTCACTCAAAACAATTCATCGTTGCTAAGTACAATTAGAACTTCATTACCGTTCGGTGATAACAAAAAAGGTGGAATTCTTACCTAATCCGATAGATGGCACAGCTTTTTCTTTGGCGAAGACAACTGTATCAGCATTGATCGGTAGCCGCAATCCGTGGCTCGATCTCAGAGGCCTCTGTCGCAGTTGGTCGATGGTCGGGGTGCAAACCATGTACCTTCCCACGTTCTCCTCGACGCCCGAATCAATCACAGTACAAACTGGAATATCTAAGAGTCCTTTCAGATGCCTAACTCTCTGTGGATGAGGATTATGCCTTGCAAAAAACGGATTCTTGCTGTTTCTGTTTGGAAAACTGCTCGTACTTAGCGACGACTCTGACCTACGAGGCCATGCATATCGACTTGTTAGCGGCATCTTGTCCTCGAAGTTCTCCTGAACTGTTCCCCGCACGAGAAGTGGCTGCCCTCCGCTTGGTGCAAACGTAGGCATTTTTTCCATTCCCTGGTAAAATAGGGGCTTTTAGAGTTTTCGAACCGATTTCACAAGCCCTTGAGCGCGTTCCCTCCAAGTGAAGTTTATAGTCCGCCGATCCAATGTCAAGTCACACTCACTGTAATCATTCCAAAAGTTCTAATTGGTTGTCACGTCGCTATAGAGACATGAATAATCATAAGTCCACAATGACTCTAATCGACCATTCAAACGCTAATGGTTGATTATGTCAGGATTACTGAATAAGAAAATCCACTATGTTTTGGTCTGTTAGGGGAACACAAGCGAACAATGCCAGACCAGCTGAAATCGGCCTCTCTTATCCTCTCTAACTCCCAAGTGGACCAAGTGGTTTTGTGCGTTGTCCCCAGTCTATTCAGAATGTTCTCAAAGCCCCTTTCCCAAAAGATCTCAAAAGAATCACGAACGAAGGGGGCGTCCGAGCAAGCCCTGGAGGCAAGCGTGGGACAGAGGAGAAAAAAAAAAAGCAACAACCACAGGTTACCCAGCCTCGTGAAATAAGCGTCCGTGTACACACAGTAGTGAAATTACGTGCCAGGGGTTCTCCCTTATTTGGCCCATATGGGGACGTGCCGCTGGATAAGGTATGGTTTTTTGGCGCCGGTGTTTACAATTTAACTTGCCTCTGTCCTAAACAGGGTTGGTACCTGTCCTAAACAGATTATAGTCACGTTGTGCTTACACTATCAGTCCGAGATCAGAAACTTCAACCGTTCCTTACAAGGTCAGATCATTTCCAGGACGAGAGTAGTACTATTGTTGTCGGAATCGTAAAAGTTTAAATTATTTTTCCTCTTATTTATCAGCAACATAACAAGTGCATATTGACAGAATATGTCAGTCGGTCTAGTTTCTTTGCACTGTATATCGTGACGGCGACTGAAAGATGTCATTGTGTCGCACAGGTATTCCTGACCTTCAGCTCTCGTCCTAAATCAGGTCTTAAAATAGAGGGTGCTGTCCTACACAGGGTAGGGTTTTGATTTATAGCCACTTAGAGGAGGGTAGTTCCACAGGGAGAAAGAGGAACGAAGACCGGACTCGAAAGAGCCCTACTTTGTATGGGATATAGGTGCGAAAAAGTAGTAGATGAATATAAAAATCAGTAAATGATAAATGTTCCTTTGTTTAACCAACAATACCTCATTTTGGGCAGTATGGCGCAATGAAACTATACTATCACTATTATTCATTCATTCATTTATTATTTCTTGTTTTTCCTTTGATGACCTTTCAATGTGAATACTATATATAAGGAGTTCTGCAGAGATCAAGAACAGACAGTCTACTGCACAAGGCCTCCTAAGTCGATCAAAAATACGCTGCCGTGTAATCGAACGTTATGGAAGAGAAAAGTTGATTTCTTCACCTTAACTCGGAGCAGAGATGAAATGTGGGTAACTGAGAAAACCTGGAGATCGATGTAAATACGCTTTATCGGTAAACATTGTCTGTTTATTGCATAACTAATAAAAGTATGTAGACTGGTCGGAATAATGGGGAGTGTGGTGGCCTTTGGATGGTTGGTACTTAGTGCGCTGGACCGAGTGGGCTGGGTTCTAGCTCTGGCCGAGGTCCTTCTGTTGTGTCCAGCAATGGGTTGCCGGGTTATAGGCGAGTTAGTTCAAGAGAATGTCACTTACTCACCATTATTGAGGCTGGAAAAGACAAAAATACAAAAGATGTTGAAACTGAGACGAAAATTATCATCGGGGAAAACAAAAGGTTAAAGTTATGAAGACTTTGAAACGCAATTAAAAAGTTCGTCGAAGCTGTTAAGGTTGCATTATAAATAGCTACTTGAAAACAAATAAATAGGACTTGAACACAGGACAAAGAAGGATTGCGCGCTTGTGTCTTGAAAAGGTAAATGGTTAGATACTTTTTGACACCGCATAACTGATAATACAGTTATTTATAAAATGCCCCGAGCATCGTACAATCGAGTACAAGCGCAGATTCAAAAAATGTCAAATTGAACAGTGGGTTAAACTATATTTGTGTTTGGTTTCGCACCCTCAAATTTATTTGTTTCTGACTTACAAAAGAAAACAAACTCTCCTTATGCTCTTTCACTTCGGCTTTCGCAGTTATACTGTTTTGTTATTTCAGAACAAACCGACGAAAAAGTTTCCCGTCCTTGTGCTGTTCAAACAGAAGACAGTTTCTCGTCATAAATTGCTAACATTATTCAACCATGCAAATTAAAAGCAAATAAATTGAATAATTTAGTGCGGAAAGTCGATTAACAACCAATAACATCGACCATAGTCTCGCGATGACCGGTTGATATCACCTTGTAAAGTGCAGTCCAATCAAGACTTTAAAAAAAATACGACACGGATGCGTTAAGGCCAACGTCATGTACGTGATCTTCAGTGGCAACGACAGAAGCAGCTGGCTAAGTTACGCATGCGCAATACTAATAGCACTCTATTGTGGGCCGATGCGGTATGACTCGGTATCACACTAACCGGACGTTAACAAAACCAAGTCGATCAACGTCAGCAGCGATTTACAACCCTTCAAAGATAAGGTAAGTACAGAACGATTTTATTTCCGCGCGGTATCTAGTTTCTGAATTTGTCATAAAACCACTTTTCCTGCAATAATGGAATATGGAAAATTACAGATATGAAACGCCAGAGAATTTTATTAAGATGTGGACCAAAATTTCGAGAAGAAGTATTATAAATTTTACTAAAAAAAATCTATTGCACTAAAAATTGTGGAACATTGCAGATACGACGTCAAAGGCCAGAAAATATTATAATGTGGATAAAACTTTCTAGCTCTTTCGAGAAGAGGTACAACGAATTTAACTAAAATAATCCACTTTACTAAAAATTATGGAACATCACAGATAGGAAACCGCAGAAAATATCAAAATATGGACTTAACTTTCAAGAACAGATACAGCAAAATTCTCTTTTCATATGATCATCTGTCACGTTTTCAGCATGCCTTCTGCGCACTTCACGATTTTAAGTGAAGTAATCGCTGAAAATAATCATTTTTCCCGTTTAATTCAAAGTTATTTTCCGCAGATTCGGGTATCATGTCGACATGACCGATAAATTTGTGTTGAAGGGAATTTTGGTTAGTTTGGAGTTAGTGTTTTGAAATGAAGAAGGGTGAAATTGCTTATTTATTAATCGCAAAATGTTTTGGCAAAAAAAGAAACTTGTTTTCAAACTGATCCAGGACAATCATAGAAAAATTAAATTTCGAGAATTTAATTTAAGGTTTCGAAATTATTTACCTGAAAACGTTTTCCATTAACACTAAAACAACCGTTCCATTTCTTGAAAAAAAGCTCTTATATAAACTTCACATGAATACTTAATACGAAATTATAAAAGAGATATGGAACAAATAACTATTTGACGAAAGAGTTACCGAGCATAATTTATATGCAAATGTGTCCGGTCGGTAGACGAAGGATCTGTAAAAGATATAATCAGCCAAATATTGAAATAGAACAACAATTTAGCAAGGTTGATACTAAGTAGAAGACTTAACGCGACAACGACATGATAGAGTCCAAACTGAAAGCGAAGATGCAACCATGGACAGCTGTTTCGAAATGCATTGGTCTTGTCAGGAGCATATCACATGGTCTTGTCAGTAGCGGACAGGTCGAAACAGCTGTCTCCTGTCCACAAGCTTTCAGTTGGACTCTATCATGTAGTTGCCGCGCTAAGTTTTCTACGCATCATCAGCCTTGCTTAATTTTAAAGCCATAAATTACATGAATTCACAAAATAGATTTTTTAACGGTCATTAGAGTACATATATGTTATTTGCCGGCTGGGAGGTCCGTTAAGTGGAAAGCTGAGACCGAGGCCTTGACTAGACTGCCCCACGCCGCAGGCTGAGGGCAGCTATTTCAAATCGATCCGAGGTCACAGTTTTTCACTATACGGACCGACCCTAAGCCGGTAAATAACTTATTTATTATTCCTCTCTCTCATCACCACCCTTTTCCAATCGGACCGCGTTAAGAACCAATCAGATTGCAGTATAACGTTAAAAAGAAACATTTTATATTTGTCGAAAATTAATTAAATGTGTTGGGTCGTATCAATTATACCAAACACAGATGAAACGCAACAAATAGTTCAATCGAAGACTATACTAAATTATACTATACTAAATTGGAAATGAGATGCCACTGTGTCTAGCAGCCAGATCAGTTTGCTCTTTCAGCTAACACCAAACGTCTCATTTCGTCGGTTGACATCACAAGACAACGACAGACCTGTCCCTAGGATCTTGCTCGCGGTTCGTTCTCGCCCGAAAAAAGATTTTGCGACCTTACGCATATACGACGGTGACGGCAAGGACGACGCCAAGTAAAAAATGTGTTTGCTCCTGCTGAATATGCTACGAATGCGTTCAATTCCAAATAGAGATACGAAAAATTAGTCTTTGTGGTTCACGTTCTCCAGACAACGCAGAATTTTGTCATTTTACGTCGTTGTTTTGCAGAGGACGGCAAAGAAATATACCAAGAATTATAATGCAGGTGCGCAGCCATTGTTTTGCTAGTTAAATCTGTTGTTTGGTGACGTTCTCGTTGCCGTTGCCGTCATGTTTTGCGTAAGGTCCCTATTACGGTGGCTAGGCTGCATGAGTCCATAGTACATTTCATTGGTTACCCCGGGCAACCGAACACGAGGCTATAGACACGGGGAGCCCATACAAGGCTTTTGATATATTTGACATTTAACTTTAGCGAAGGTATGAGTTTCGGATAACCAATTAGTTTGAAATATGATGAAACATCTTGAAGTCATTTTCAGGTCGATGGAGCGTTGTTGGAAAGGTTTATTTCAAATTAATCAAAGTCAGTTTTACAAGTGCAAGCAGACCATTCACTCAAGGTCATGCACGAATGAAGATTATCCCATCATCCTCCTCGGCTTAAAAATTTTCTCGCAAGAGAAGACTGGGGACTAGTGTCAAGGCTCGCTCTCGATTAGCGCTCAATTAGGACTGGGGCCAGTTTCCCGAAAAGTTTTCACACCCGAAAAGCCGTAGCAAAATCTCAAACCTTATGACTTCAGAGCTGTGTTATGCACATGTTCTCAAAATAAACAGAGGTTCCCTTCATACAAGAAGTTTCAGGCGTATGCAGGGGGGATGAAAGGACTTCCTATGATGCTTTGGTGTAATCTGAGGCGTATGCATCTCTCTGTCTTTAAATACCGGTTAACCAAAAATGGCTTCGCGGGCCCGAAAAGTTTCCGTGGCTTTTGAGAAACGGGCCCCTGGGTTTTGACATTTCTTCGAATTTCTAGTTCGAAATCGAGAGATCGCAAGTAGGATTAGTTCCCTCTACAGTTTACTAATAAGAATTTAATACATGGTAAAATTCAAGGTTAAAAATCGTTTTATGATGTTGGTAACGAAACTATATCATCAGAAAACTGAAACATGTTGCCATCGATTTTTGGTTTTATGACATCCTATTTCAGAAGATCTTCTCTGACTGATATTCATTCATTAAGTGTATCCATTGTCTATGGATTACAGAAAACGGAGTGGCTAGTATCTTCAGCTTAATGCGCTCATGGCCATTGGATATCCTGAAGATAACTTACGTTTAATACCAGTTTAAAAAAAATCCTTGATCATTCTTCTCCTCTTCTATTCAAATGCAAACAGATTTGCTTTCAGACCTATCAACCTGTGAGAACTTGAAATCTGGAGATTTTCACAAAGAGACTGAAAAATGGGAGCAGTCTCTGTTGAAACCAGACGATTTACTAAAACACCAAAATATTGCAACAAATCAAAGAAAATCCGCCTACTAAACAGCGACTGAGTGATTTTCCCTCTTAGCCGCATGTGTCAAAAGCATTCCGTACCAAACGCTTTCCCTACACACAATTTAGTTTCGTGCGTAAAGCTATAGACCGCACCGCGATAAGAGCCGCTCAATTTCAATTCCCACTTTCAGCTCCAGCTGGGAGTCGCATTAGCATTTGAAGCACTGTTGTAACCACTAAGCAAAGTAAACTATGACGTTATATACACGGCCTGATAGAAAGAACGTTTCCTAAAATATCCCTTATGTCTATATGGCTTGTTTACTCGATTTTAACTTTTGGTTAATGTTAGTCTGGAACAGGAACGTGTGCATTTAATTCAACGTAAACAATAAGAAAAAGTCATTATCGCGTCGAAGTAAAGCATTACTGAATCGACACTGAATATTGAATTGACTTTTCTTTGTGTTGATATAGCGTTTCATTTAATTAAGGTAGTCTTTTGTTGGAAAGGTTTTGAGAGGGCTAACCACGCATTTACACGTTCTTGCAGGCGGTCGGCCATTGAAATGAGAAGAAAGGCCTTTCTTTGAAGTTTGCCACTATTCTTCCGATCCACTAAAGCTTGCCACAAGAAGCTTTCAAAGAACTGAAACAAAAGCTACTGAAAAACTAAATTGAAGACATTTTCCTCTCAGCACAATACTAACAAAATAATTATTAAGTGGGAAGTCATAAATATTAACATTGTTATCTTTTATTTCCACATGAACATGCTTTCTTTAGATACTTTGATAACTCAAGCTCTCGTTTTTCACCAATTAGCTGCTTCCATTTCGTAATATTTTTTTAATTTTAATCAAATGTTCAATTTTGTTGAAAGCCTCATGCAGGAAACACCCCAGGGAAGGTGTCCGCCAGCTAAGAGACTACACAACCAATCATTAATTATTTGCAAAATCAATAATTCAGTTCGTTCTTTGTTTACAATTTATTAATATATTGTGATTCAGGTTTTTGCATCGACTAAACTGCAAATGAAAATATATGATTGCACGAACGCAAATGAAATATGTCTCTGTTTTGCAGAACGATAAGATAAGGTTGGGCGACAGGAAAATCCGTCATTCCACAAATACCTTTTTTATTGGATACGGTAAACTCGAATTCGAAAGAGTCACTGTCGCCGGAGGAAATTAAGGTTGCTCATTCACTTTTGGTTTCTACTCACTTGCAAGCTGACGGAAAATGAGGACTATAATAGACTGATTTTGGAACCATTGCAAGTTGGGTCTTTCTTCTCAGCAGTAATGAAGTGATTCACTCATCTGGAAAAATGACGACCAAACTAAAGTTTCAGCACACCAGACAATGCTGCAGGTTTTTTCTCCTTCTGTTTGGTTTGGTTCTCTACACGTGTGTTTGTGCTCTCATTTTTAAGTCACTTGAGGAAGAAAACGATCGAATGCATTATGGTTTTTATCAAGGACTGAAGAGTGACTACAAACGAAAGTACAATATGAGCGAGGAGGACTTTGTACAATTCGTCTCCGACGCCAGCGTTTTGTTCAAGCGCGGCTACGTTGGCAGTTACAAGGACTACTGGAATTTTTATCACTCGTTTTGGTTCACAACAACAGTGGTTACAACTATGGGTAAGTTTTGTTTACTTTAGAAATTCGGAAAGAAATTAAATGCTATGTCTAAACTGGAACAGCTGGAGAGCAGTCAAGGTCGTCAAGCACAGACTTGGTCAGGAAATAATAGGGGTCGAATCTGATGATTGAATGTAGGTAGACAGGAGATCATTCTCTTGAGGTAGATTTGTAGTTCAGGCATGGATTGAGGTTCGCGATGGAGGAAGAGAACAAAACATCAACCGGCAAAGTTTTAGTTTTTCTGCTAGTCCGTGCGTCTCCTAGATGGCAGAAAATTAGCGTTAAGGCTTAGTTCTAGTTGCTACATTTTATTATTCAAAGTCTTTTTTCGTAAGAGGTGTTAATCTAGCTAGTTTGGTCGAGAATTAAACCTCAGACTTGTAATAGCTGAATGCTAGATGAAGGTTTTTTCAGTCGGAAAAATGAAACAAACAAACAGACTGTTATGGTAAACTGAATGCCCCTTATCAGAATATGATAAGTTTCGCCATATATTTTAAGATAACAGTTCCAAATGACTTCTTTTCACTCATTCTTTGTTTGGGTCGGCTTCCTTTGAAATATGTCGTATTTTCCATCTCCGATCTGTTGCCACGGTAATCTTACAGTTATACAGTTAAACAGAACGCAAAAATGGAAACATTTTGCGAGCTTTATCAAACTGTATGTTATAGCAGGAGAAAAATATACCGTATCGCAAGTGGGCGCAAAAAGAGTTTTAAAGATCTGTAAACTACTTTTGCTAGATCTCATTTAAAAGGAGTGAGCTTTGTAAATCAACCTACGATGTCCCGTGAAATAATATTATGAAAGAACTCTTTAAGTCAAAAGTTAAACATAAAATATTAATTATATGACTAAGAAAATTACTCCATTGTGATTGGCCGAGAGCATGCCAATTCATCTTTAATATTTAATTTGCAGTTTTGCGCTGCAGTACAAATTAAAAAGGCGCGTTCGTAATTTTCTCTGTCATACTACAAATGAACAATCGTATGAAAACTCAAACAATTAAAAATTTATACTACTCGTGATATTTGAAAATCTTCTCAAAATTGTACGAACTTTTAAGCGAATATGATTTGGAGGAATTTTTAAATATCATTGGTATCATAGGTTTGCCTTTACTAATAGGAATAAGGCGACTGGTTGTCCATAACTTCTGAGATGCTGTACAGAAAAAATGCAACAAAAAAATAGCTTCAAAATATGCAAGTTTCACTCTTTGCAGCTCCATATGTTACGACCTCTGGCCTGACCCGATTTTCTGAGCATGTGCAGATTATTCGTTTCGTATTCTCAGCCAGTCAGATTTGTCAGATTTGACGGGAAGTTCGTGAATCGCGGACTTCCGTTGTTGGACCGGCCCAGAGGTTGCGATTCTTGGTGCTGACCAAAAGGAACGCGGCCTCTTGGGACGGGAATGGAAAAACTCGGTAATGTTGACTTAGCTCTGCAGACACGCGTGTAGTGGATAAGTTGTGTGCTGGCTATAAATTTCCCCCGCGAGTTCGACACGCAATAGAGTAACCAATCAGAGATAACCACCTTCCTGGAGAAATCTTTGTAGTGGTACGTCATCAGAATAGATCTCAACTTCGTTCCCAGGGTCCAATCTCTTTGAGGTTGTATGCACGTTTTCCGAAATGTCTCTCTCCCAAAGATGAGTAAGGCGCGCAAAGTGTTTTACTGCTAATTTTTTTTTCCTTCATTCAGGTTTTGGACAAATCGTTCCTCTGACGTTTGGCGGTCGGCTTTTCTGCATATTCTGTGCTCTCCTTGGAATTCCATTAAACCTAGTCGTGCTCAAAACAGTTGGTGAACGAATCACACGATACATATACAACACCATCAAACACATCGAGAAGACGTCCCTCGGACGAAAGCACCCCTCTCATGTGGGGATCAAAGCAGCAGCCGTGTCATTCATGATGATGGCGCTTGTTATTCTAGTGGGAGGAGCTGCAGATATGATATTTGACGGGTGGACATTCTTCGACGGGGTTTATTTTAGTTTCATTGCGTACAGCACCATTGGTTTTGGTGATCTGTTTCCGCGAGTGGAAAAATCCTCGAAACTCGACAAACTCGGTCTGGGTGAGAGCGGCAAGCGTTTGTTCGCCACGTTTATCATGCTGACCTTTATGATCGTGGGTTTGTCCATGACGTCGTCTGTTATCTGCTCCATATTGAACGCCATCGAAGAAATGTCGCAAGTGCCTGCCACTTGGAGAAGTCGGTCATCTATCTTCAGCAAAGACAACTCGGTCAATCTGAAAAGTATCAAGAAAGAAACAAAAGATGGACAACGACAAGAATCTATACAGTAACAGAATGGCTAACAGAATAAAAAGCACTGTGAAAACCGACCCAAGACGTACATCCGGGAATTTCTGTACGTCATCAACTCGGATTAGCGGGTGCTGCGAAAACTGCCATTCTGAACGAGTCTCCTTTTGGCGGGACTTTTATATGCGACTTTTTACGGGCAAATCGAATAGCGGAATACGAGAATGCGACTTCTTTGTTGTGGGGATACCCGGAAGCAAGATTTGATGAGAAAAACACTTAATGCTGGTTTATATACACTAGCGACAGAGTCGGAGTCGTAAGAGCGCGCTTATGACCAAGTAAAACTCGAAAATCTGGGTTATAAGCGGAGTCATAAGCTCGGCGGAATCGGAGTCGGAGAATCAGAACGTTTCCATATCGTCCGATTCCGTTTACGACTCCGTCACTTATGATCCAGTGAAAACTAGACTGTCGGAGTCGGAAGTACAAACCAATCACGATGCCTAGAATCGAGCATTGTGAGTGGTTTGTTCTTTCGCTTCTACTTTCGACTCCGACAATTTAGTTTCACGAGAACGCAAGCGAGAGTCATAAGTAGAATCGGTGTTCTACTTCCGACCCCGTCGGTTTGATTTTCACTAGATCGTATCTCTCTGCGCTTCTGATCACGACTTCGACTTCGACTCCGTCGCTAGCGAAAACCAGCCCTCAAGGACACAGAGGTCGAGAAAAATTCTGTTCCACAAACGTTCGCCTGCTAAACCGTCGCAAGCGAATCCACGGTAAACGTGAATGAGAAGCGAAAAGGAGCGGGATACAAACCAAAGTAAATGTATAATCAATTTTTTCTACGTAAAAACAATTTTATTGTCGAAGTTATCAGGATTAAAGTATCAACATACGATAAGTCGAGACTTAAATAACATTTCTTGAGACGAAAGCGTCTGTAAAGCCATTTTTTTTATTGTGCAACATTTAAGCCCCAGAGAAAAATGGTAACGAGCAGTGATTCCATGTAAGATAGTCATGCAGGATTTAACTAGTTATTTAACTAGTTCCCCTCTTAAAAAGCATTCAAGTCGCAGTTATGACGTAGCGCGATCAGAGATCCGTGTAGTGATTGGTTGTCGCTCGGTTACGAATATTCGCGGGCCACAGCCAACCAATCAGAGGACCTTCAACGATTCTTCAAGAGATGCGTCAGCAGTATGAAATTTCTGGGTCAAATTTGGGAAGCCTCCTGAGCGGGGGATAGCGGGGATAGAAATGGTGCGATTCTGACAGTAGATTATGTTAACTCCGGCTTAAAATTTTTTTCTATATACGCGTATTAAACATGATCAATCATGTCTTCATATGCGTATTATGTTTACCAGCCCTCAAATGAGATTAGTTTCCGTGACGGTGCCCAGAACATTTACAACTTAAGAGAGTGCTATATTTGCAGCGGTGACTAGGTTGCAAGAAAGCTAAAGGCTTAAGAATATATTTACAGTTGTTCCCATACTAAAATACTATTTCAAAGTCTTCTCTTGCAATTTCAAGACTTAAGACCAGGAAGCAAATCTAATTAACGTCCTTCTGCTCGAGAGCGTTTCGGCTTGTTCAAACAGAAAAAGTAAAATACCCCGATTGGGCCTTCGTCAACGCAAACCAAGTCCGCTGAATGGCGGCCAAATTTATAGTAATGGAGCGAGGATATTTCCAGGACCTTGACAAATGACCGTTGAATAAACCCATCTTCTAGACCGTGGACCTTAATGGAATTAATCTATTATCCAATTCCAATCCCCCAGTAAGTGTCGTCATTTGAAGTCTTCCAATTCTCTCCCGAAGTCTTCATTAGGTCGAGTTTCCAGGCATCAATTCTCTCCCGAATAAATAACTGAATGCAGCTCTACACAACTTTCTTCGCTGTTCCAAATACAAGGAATATGACAGCACCGAAAACCAGGACTATAGCGTTTAAGTGGAACACATTTTTCCAGCTGTAAGAGACTTCCAATATATGGCCCGTGATCAGAGTGCCAACAATTCCTGTGTGAAAGGAAAATCAAATAATCGATTTAGTCTCCAGAGGTACTTCAAACACATTTGCGTTAACAAATTTCCAGTTTCGGAAGACGAGCTCTTTCTCGATTGTCCCATTTTCCACCATTCCTGCGCCCATAGCGCCTCTAAAATCAGTCAACAACTTCATGTTAAGGTGGCTCAAAACAGTTTCCAGCACTTTCCAAGACTTAGACTTTGATGGGTCATCGTAACCACCATTTATCGGTTGATGCTACAATCACAGTATCAAAAAACTGCCCAGTCATTGGTGAACACGTTGTTAGAATTTCCGTGACACAATATGTTACCAAAGCAATGGTATGACCGGCTAAAAACATCCTTAATTACAGATTTAGGGACTAATAATTCAAACACGGCAGGTGAAATTATTTTTATATTACCAAATTTTAATAAGCCTGATAAGAAGCCACTTTCGGCAAAGTTTAAAAAAAATTCTGCACATAGGGTTAAGAGCCACCTTGAATTTTCAAAACTTTAAATTGGCTCTGAACCCCATGTAGAGATTTTTGCCAAAACTTTGCCAAAAGTTGCGTCTTATCATGCGTATCAAAATTTGATAATATCTATATAAAAAAAATTACTACCATGATTGTAGCATCAACTGATACAGAGTAGTTGTAATGACCCATCGAAATTCAATTTGAGCCACCTTAAGCCACAAAAACAAACAAACACAAAAGTTTCCTAATCAGTTATCTAATATTACTATCGTTCAACAGTCGTAACAAACAATGAGCCAACCAAACTCGAAGAGAAAACACGCTACCGCAGAAAAGAGTGGGAAAACTCGCTTACTCACGCGTAAGCAAACTCACGGTATAACGGTTGTTCATGATTGGCTGAAAAACTAGCCACTTGCTGTGAGTGGTTGCACATTGTACGCATTATTCCAGTTAAACAATAGCGTGTTTTGCGAGGAACTATCGTCTGATAGTTGCCTCGCGGAAATTTGATGTTCTTAAAACTAGCGAACGAAAATTACTAATTACTAGGGGAGTCAGATTTTCTTTATCCCACGCTCGTACCGGACAACTGAATTTGCGCTTTTCTTGTTGTTATTAAGTGAATTTTGTTAGTAGAACCTACCTGAAAATGCCCCGGCAGAATTCATTATACCTAGAACCAGCAACAGACAGAATGTCAGTGATCAACAATCTAAGGTGAACAACAAAAATTTCAAAGCAAGTTCATAACATCCGCAGCTTACCAAACAGTGTCCCTGCAAACTTGGGTGACATGTCTTGTGGAGTGACGGCCACGCCCGAGTTACCCAGCGCGTTCAGACTCATAGCCATCATCATACAGAAGAGTGCTTGATTGAACGTAGTAGATTTGTTGATAAGTATCATGAACAGTGCTCCACCACACATGGACACAGACTGCAACAAAAAAAAAAATACAGTTTTGTTAGACTTTCTCAAAGTTCTAGGTAGTCTCAAGTTTTGTGTGTCGCAGTCATTTTTTCGCTTTCCGAGCTCGGCTTTCACACCTCGACTTGTGGGCAAGTCAACAGTTCTGTTATCTGTAGACAACAGAGTTGGATATGGTGGTAGTTTTTCTGAAATTAAAACAACTAAGAGAGGAACGAGTATAGAGTGATTCCACCCCCACCTCCACCCATCATTAGGCTGCAAAAAGAGCTTGGTCACAGGATACAAACAATCAAACGCGAGACCCTTTGAAGAAGCTACTTCACGACTGGTTCTTATCATGAATAATGAACTAAATAGGCCATTTCCGAGTTGCCTTTTGCCTCCCCTAAGTATGCTCTGTGTCAAAACTAGTCTTTGTGCGAAACCATTCATATGAAAATGTGTTCCGCCTACAGGTTCATTTTCACGCAAATCAAACTCATTTTCATAAGAAAGGTTTTCCATGAAGAATCATTTTGAAACAGAGGCACAAGGTAACTCCGAAACGGCCTACTGCTCCTTATCTGTTTTACTCCTATCTTTCAATAAGCGTAACTGTTTTCAATCTTTTCCTCTCAACGTCTTCATTCTTTTTTCCCCACTATGGAACAAATTCACACTCCATTAAAATTCCACTCTCGAGTTATGAAACAACTTATTTCTCCACATTCTCTACAACAAAATTATTAAATATGGCCCACTGATTTAACACACATTTCCACCAAATTCTTGAGTTAGCATGCCTCACTAGGCTTTCAAGTCCTCTCCAAGGTCATAGTCTTGTAATCTTGAGAATACAATTGAAAAAATCACTATTCTCACATTTCATGTACACCAGGGAACCAGTCACAGAATATTTTGGGGGATACCACCCCCCCCCAAAAAGAATAAAATAAAAATAAAATAAAAATAAAAATAAAAATAAAAAACTCTCAGGGCATGGTAATACTCCTTGTCACCTCGTGCTACAGTTCAGTTCCACTCAAATTTGCTTTACCTGAAAAAACTTCCTGGCAAATGTTACAGAGGACCCTATGGAAATAAACAAACATAGCATTTAATGAATCAAATATGAAACAAATTCTGTAAACTGGTGTCTGCATTTGGACAAAAGACTGTTCTGACCTTGAGCACTTCACTTGTGTCAATGCGTCTACAAATTTTCCTTGACTACAAATCCAAAATTCAGATTTATAAAGTAGATTAAAAGTACTCAAAGAATGCTCAACTTAAGTACAGTGTTTGGAAATAAGCAAAGAGATAATGAGGGTAGACTAGTCCCCAGTCTCCTAACAAGTTTGAAGCCACCTAGAATGTTTGTTAGTCACAGAAGATAACTTTGAAAAAATTATATTTTTTAAGTAGGTTTTTAAGATTATTGGCAGTCATCTCACATACCTATCAAACTCAATAAAGACTTAAAGCTTCATATACACCCACAACTTCAATGGAGCAAGAATCATCACATTGAATAACATGAATAATATTCTGAGGAAAAAACACATCAGCCTCAGCTGGTTTTCATCCATGTCCTTTGGCCTGGTCAAATTGGAATTTTGAGATGTTGGTTTTTGTGGAAGGAAGAAAACCAGAGTACTCAGAGAAAAACCCTCTTAACAAGGCAAGAACCAGAGCTAACTCAACCCTCATATGGCACCAGCTGGAATCGAACCCAGGTCGCATTGGTGGAAAGCAAGTGCTCTTGCCGCTGTACCATCCCTGCTCCCCCTATACATCTGCGTGTGGCAAAACACAACATGTTACAGTAAGAACTGGAGGATTTGCATCCAATCACAAACCTTTTCTAATCATGTGATCAGCCAAGCGTCCTGCAAACAATGCAACTGGAAAGTACAGCAGCCAGGGAAGAACATTAAATACCCATTTCTAAAAGTAAATAAATCACAATATCATAACCAAACTCTGCACATGGCAAAACATAATCCAGTATCTTGTGACAGAGATCACTTAAGTGGACTAGCAAATGCACAATTTATTTTCAAGTCAATTGGCAAAATTTAATGAAGTACAAATGTGTGAAAATGAACCCAGAGGCAGGCTTAAAGATGATGGTCAACTCACTTTGCTTCCAGGATAATGTTCCTCAAAATACATGGGAAGCCAAGCAAACACATTCCAGAATGCACATCCCTGGCAGAAATGCGTAATGACAAGAGCCCTAGAACATACATTAAGACAAGAATGTAATCAAATAAGGAAATGGCAAATTCACACATAACCCCCAGGTGTAAATTCAATAAAACCAAAAACCAATGACAATGAATAGCAAAATCGACTTCATAGATTGACATTGTATATTGATGAAAACATTTGATTGACTGTAATTGATTTCCAAAATTATCAGTACTGAATTTTATCTATGAGAAAGATGTATTTAATGAATGCAATATGACTGTCAAATAAACTAAAACAAACCATTTTATTTCAATAACTGAACAGTTGCAAATGTTTCCTATTGCTCTGCAACATTGAAATTTATGTCAACTAGACATGTGCAACTTAAAAATGTGTTGATTGCTGTCAGTCAAAATGAGTCAATACTGGTATTTACACTAGCAAACAGAAATGCAACACATATTAACTTGTAAAGCCGTACTAGAACAACATTTTGTTACATAAGTTCAGAGGATACATGCAACAATCTATGAAATTCAGTTGATGAAACCAAACATTACCGATAATTCCCAAGTCAAATCACACCCAGCCCAAATGCGCGTCATGTTAAATCACAGCCAGCCCAAATGCATGTCACGTTAAATCACAGCCAGCCCAAATGCATGTGACAAGTAGTAGTTACACACTGTATATAGCACTAAAGTTTACCACATTTTGAGTATTTATCATAAGAGTATTCAGTAATGCTGTTTGGAAATTGTTACCTAAAAAGGTTTTGCTGTAATTTAGCTTAAAATTCAGTAGATTAGTAGTATCGCTCTTGACAGCCTCACATTTTAGTCATTAACACTTACTGCTTAACACTAAGTTACAGTAAAGGCAAAGGCAACTACAAAACCAGTATAAAATGTCACCAACTTCTTGTGCATTCAGTAGAGTCTGTGTATGGTGTCTGCAAATTTTCATTACATGTATACTGTAGAATAGGCAAAGTACATTGAACTGGTATACTGTTATGGTTCTCAAATCTGGGATTAATCTAAAAGCCAGACCTCAAATATATGCCAGCAAAGGACACAATAATTGCCTGGGCAGGGGGGGGGGGGTTTATTTAAAAGTTAACTGTATGGATGAAGTTGATCCAGCATTTATAATTTTGGCCTGTCATACATGTATATTCAGGGACCAGCATTTCAAGAGAGTTTTATAAACCTGCGAGCCATGCGAGCCATGCGAGTCATGCGAGTCTCATGTGAGTCATGTGAGCCACAGTACAAATGTTAAGAATTTGTATTTGTTACATTTATATTTGCACGAGAACAAGAGCAAGATCAACGGAACAAGATGAATAAGATCACAATATTAAATTCTTGCAGCGACTACACAAACTGTCACCAAAAAGTTTTTTGAATAGGCCAATCAGAAGCCAAGCTAAAAAAACAAAATCAAATAGCTACAAATTTTACTTCCGGTTAAAATGCCTCACAATGCACGGAAAGCTGATAAGGGTACCACAACTGTCATAATGAACAGAATAGATAAATTCAACGAGGGTCAAGTCCAACTTGATGATATACATACCAACCCTCAGACAAACCTATGGTTGACACCACAGCCAAAAAAGTTCATCGACTGATTCGATCACTACTTCAAGAAGGCCACATAAACAAAATGGAAGCTAAATGGCCCTTCCTTTACACCTGACCCTCCGTGAATACCAGTGTTTTACACACTTACAAAGATTCACAAAGCAACACCTGTCAGTAGACCTATTACATCAGGGTGTGACAGCCCTACAGAAAGGATCTCATCTTTTGTTGACCACCTTCTTCAGCCGATAGCAAAAAGACAAGCCTCATATCTTAAAGATACAACAGACTTTCTTAACTTCATCGGCGAGAAGACTAAACTGCCTAAGAACACCATTCTTGTCTCAATGGACGTCACCAGCCTCTACACAAACATACCACAGGAAGAGGGTATTACCACAGTATGCAAGGCATACGAAGAGTTTTATCACGAGAACCCTCCAATTCCTGGCAGGTATTTAAGAGAAATACTCAATCTGATTCTACAAGAAAACTCGCTCCAATTCAGTGGAAAAGATTACCTCCAAACTCATGGAACAGCCATAGGAACGAAAATAGCCGTAGCTTTTGCTAACATATTTATGGCCAAAATAGAAATAGAAATACTCAGACAAAGTAACACGAAACCCATCTTTTGGAAAAGATTCATCGATGA